GGATCTAAGTTACAGGAGTGGAACCCACAAGGGATATGAACTACAGAGAGCTAATACAGAGTGTGTGTTACTAACCTGGGGTCCTGTGGTCGACTGAATCCTGACGCTGACTGCTCTCACCAGTCATTGGCTAAATGAGCATGTAAATGAGCGTCCTGCTTGTGGAAAGGACGCGTGAAGAGAGCAAATGGTTTTAACGAGCTCTGATTGGTCAATTCCAGAAAAGTTTGAGCGTGGCCCGTGCGATACAAACAAGGAGACCCCGTGTGGTACAAACCGGGAATTCCCCGTGCACGTAGTGCACTGGTCAACGTAAACCTAGCGGGCGAGGATCGGCTTTCGTGTCCGGCCAAGTCCGGCATAAATTTCCCTTTCTTAGCGGCAAATCTGTCGTTTTTGTTTTCTTTGTGTCTTTCTAAAGGGTTGTGATAACCTACTCTACTCGGGTGGTATTTTCGTGCGCGCTCGCTAGTACGTAACGTATATACACGGCGGCGATCTGGCACTGCGTTATTTCTACCGTAGCGGGTCTAAACAAGACGCAAGATTCCTATTTTGGGGTATAAAATGTTGTCACAGTGGTAATACACTATTTGAAACGGACCTATACGAAGTACCTTTCTTTGGCGACGCTAGGGAAAACAGCATCTCTCGATAAACAGAGATAAATACTTAGATCCTGAGGGGGTGCCTTAATTCCGACCTACCCTTAATTCCGTACTAGTTTGAAAAATCCAGGTTGCGGCGTTATGCATGGGAGCACGTGCCTAAAAATAACCACAAGAATGGACAAAGTTTTTGTGATGATGCCCGTAATCTCACAAAGTTTGTTTTAGTTCGTACACTCCGACAACAGACGAGTGAAAAATCTGTTTAAATTCGACGCTTGTTCGTTACCGTTACCTCAGAAGGGAGTTAGTCACGAAAAGGAACTTAGCCACGGAGGGAGTTTGGGCATTGGCCCGTCAATGCCCGGACAGTCTGCCTCGCCCAGCATGATCTCCTTCCCAGGATCGTCTGTGTGACGAACCCAGGCGCCAGAAGCCATCATGCGGCTGTATAATGTATTGCACAAAAGACTCACACACGCATATTCAATAGGGTTCTTTAATAGGACGCTGTGTAGGAGCATGTGGCGGTCTAAAGCCCCGCGGACACTTTTGTAATACTGGATGTTTCCCAGATCGGACAAGTGTAGGCCGTCAGGCGCAAAGTAGTTTGCAATTTGGGTTGCGTCTCCACAGACGTCTGTGGTCCCATACTGTGACCTTGGGGTAGTTCTGCACAAGTCCCTTCAGCGCCTCCGTGAATTTCTGAAGGCACTGAGGAAAGTCAGACATGTTAGGTGGAATATGGAGACACCAGATATCTGGGGAACCTTGGACGAGCGCCCGGTCTGCTTTCTGGTGGAGACCCACTGGGTGTACACGTAGCGTGTCTATTATATATGGCAATACCTATTATAAAGATCATCCTTATTTGGTAATACTTGCGTCAGATACCATTCTTTTCTAATAACTATACCTTACTCACGTACTTCCTAAATAATCAAACATAAATCCATACGAATGTGAGTTACAGCTCAGGATACACATTTCATCAGTCGTTGATGCATGCATCATATTAGCATCCTCAAAAACAAACAATACAACTTCCTACATACAATACGGTGTTAAAAGCACACACATTTTGACATACTAGTAGTACTAAAACAACAATCCGTTATAAGAAAAAATCCTTTTAAACAAGGTATATCAAAAGGGTTACAAATTTATACTATAATATAACTAGAGGTCCCCGATCTCATACCTTCGCCAAATGATGTTAATCTTTATGACTGACAAATTATAGATTATTCTCCCTGATTTAACAAATAGGGTGCTCCTTTCCATTCTCATTTTCATGGATATCAATTTATCATATTCGCAATGTACAGTCTTATATTAACAAACAATGCCATTCTAGCATTTCCTAATAAATTATGCAAATGAGGTCCTTATTTGAATACATTATGTTTTCATAAGATAAAGATAAGTGTTCACCTTCACTTATCTTTCAAATACCACAAGTATGAAATTCCAGGCACTTATCATTACATAATTATAAAATTAATTATGCAAATTAGGTCTTCATTTACATAATCAATATCTGCCTGTGTTTCTCTCGTTCTCAATTACCAATTTCACGAGCTTCAATAGTCCTATCATGGAATGCAGCTGAT